CGTTTCAGTCAGGTATTTCAAGCTCCGTCCCATCTGCTCTGTCACTCCTTTTCAGTGCACTAAATAAATAAGTGGCTGCTTAATCTGAGCTGCCAAGGACCCTGTAAACTCCCGATACGGACACAGAGTTTTCATGGTGCTGAGCACCTTTCAGAACAAGGTGTCTGATTTCTGCAGTGAGGGGGAATGACTTCCTCCGCCCGGGATGTACCTCCCAGGAAGGGGCCTGTGCTGCAAGGAGAGACGGGGATGCTGCTAAAGCATGTGCTCCCAAAGTGCGGTCCTGTGCCACAGACCTTATTTCTACAGGCAAGTGGGCACCCCTCCATCCCTACACATTTCAGTACCTGTGCTCTCTCGTGTGAGCCATGTTCCTCGATTGCACGTTCCCCATGGTACAAGGCATCTCCTGCTGGGACAGGAGAAAGTCCAGACCTGGAGAGAAAGGCAGTTAATGACGTGAAGAAAATAGACTTTCAACCCTCTTCAGGGTAAATGTTGGCTGGAGGCAAATTTTACTCTAACACCAAGAGATGTACAAAGTCCATTTGCTGGCATTGCAAGCGGAACCCTTGATTGAGTCGTCTAAATTATTGCAGCCTTTTCACAGAAGCACCACTGATTTAATGCAGCCTGCTAATGCTGGGAGGGGGTGCAAGGGCATAAACGGATGAGCCTGCCACGGGGGATGCAGTGCAGGAATCCTTGCTACAGGTATTGCTGGGGCAAACTCGGGTACCACGCACAAATGCAGGATATTGATACTGTCACCAGCCAAGTATTGAATTTGGTTGTGATCTCAAAAGGACACAATTAAGATTAACAGAATATTTTGCCTTTTTTTCCCCCCCTCCATCATCCAAACGTGCCAATGTTAAAAATAAAATACCTTTTAGAATATAATTGGTTTTACCTTTCTGTGGATTTCAGAATGAGTATCATAAAATAGTCGGCTTTACTTCCTCTTTTTATAATGTGTTCCTCATGCCATTTAGCACAGTATAAATGTTTGTGCTCCCCCACAGGCCCAGCAAATTGTTTACTTGTACTTTATAAAATCCCTTCTTTTTGGTTTCTAGTCTTCATTTGCATTCATATTAGATTTTTTTTTTTTTTTTTAATCAAAGAAATCTTTCACATGCATCTCTGAATTCAGAGTGGGTGAACCTCAAACCATTGTGGTGACACGGTGGGGTTACAGGGAGTGCTGTGTTAGGGAACTGTACTGAAGAGAGGAGCCAGGGAGAACCTGGCTTGTATCAAATTGGTAATCATGAAAATCAGGTATTTGTGCCAGATACTGCAGTGGAAATATCCTTTTATGTAGCAAGATTTGTGCCCAAGAGGCAATGTCAGCAATTCAGAAAAAATCAAGCAATTGCAGAGGAATTGAGATGTGCGACTCAGCAATGAGGCAGGGTAGATGAAATTATGATTTCAAAGATGTTACCATTACATTGACTAATTAGTAAATCAGTTTAATTTAACCACTCATGCTCTTCAGGAGAGACAGTAGCACAGAAGCAAGCCATCGGGCTTCAGCCCACCTGAGCTTTTATTACGTCTTGTAATAAAAGCTTGTCCAGTGTTCCAAAAAACAGCACATGCTTCCCAAGAAAGGTAATGAAGTTTCCATTTTTTTCCTCCATTGTCTTCTGCACTCAGATGGAGACACACTCGGAGATTTTGGGTTTGTGGATCATGCCTGCTGCAGTTGTACTGTTCGTTCTCCAGCAAGTGGGCATTTTCTGTAGCTGGACTCCATCCAGTTGGCTGCCACAGGCTGAAACAGGCCGTTTGTATTCTGTTGTAAAAATGTCATGAGCTGAAGTGTATTTAGCAAAGTCATTCCTCTTGGTCTGAGATCTATGTTACAGTGAGGGCAAAGAAGATGTGAACTTCCATAGTTAGGATGTTATCTTTTGATTAGACTGCAAAGCAGCAGCAGGACTTCCATATTGATTTTCCATCCCCAAGTTTTGGGTAAATGTTTTGAAGTTTTTTTGCCACCTACCAATCGGCAGAACAAAGAAAGGAATCCCAGACATGGCTCCATGCTGAAGAACTGGCACTGACTGTGCTTGCAACCCTCACTTCTTGTTACTCATGGTAGAGAGAAGAGACCGAATATGATGCTAGATTGGGTCTTGCCAAATCACAGTTGGGCAACTCAGGACTATCATTGCTAGGAGTCTGGAAAGCCAAAAACTGGCAATACAGAGCAGACCATTTGGCAGACAGTATGTCATTCTTGGAGCCCAAGTCTGTAATTATGTCCTGCGTCCTCTTGAGAGGAGATGCCAAAGTTCCAGTCTTAGCAGGTGGCTTGTAACTGAGTGCAAAAAAACAACAGGAAATAGTGACTGTAAGTTAACAGCAAAAACATATATGTGCGCCCTGATAGAGTTCTAGAGTTAAGGGATGCAGGCGTGGGTGAGGGGATTATATGAAACCCAGATGAGAAAGCCTAGCTGGCTTGGTGGGAAGAATTATACCTTGGATGGGAGGAAACACTGCTTTTTCTAAAATGTGCACTTAAACAATATGTTGGGTTAAAAATGAAAAAGGTAACAGATTCAATAGTAACATGATTTGTTGGCATAAAAGGTCAACATGATGCCTTAAAAGGGAAGGTGTGGGGCAAGCTACACTGGGAGGGTTTTTTGTTGGAAACTTTACATTTTCAAAGCTGGTTTTAGCTTAGAATGTCACGTCATCCATATGAGAAAGCAATCGGGAGCGCATGCCTGGCTTTTCATCCTCTGCTGCTGATTTATCATATCAATTTGTCGAGTGATTTATTGTCTGGTCTTTCTGGAGAATAATTGTATCCATTCCCAAAAATGAAAAGTGCTTTAGAAGTTCTAAATTTCTATTTTAGAATAGCCTCAATTCTGGATGTTGTGCACAGAGGGGCTGATTCAATGCCAAATTTTGCTTCATAATAAAGAGTAAGGGAGATGTTGGGAACTGAGGTTTCTGGATACAAGAGGGAATAAATTACCACCGATGTCCCTGTCTTCTGGGTGCAGTGCATGTTCTGCTAATTTCCTGTGAGTGCATTATACATTCAGGTCTTGTTTCTATTTTTTAATAAGTCTGTCAGACTAATAGCCACTGTTATTTGCCTTCAGTTTAAAGGACTTTTTTAACTATCCATTCTCACGAGACTTGTTCATAACAATCCTGTTTTGCCTTGTGTGTATTATACACTGTGAATAAAGTTCTCTTTGAGAGGACAGGAACACCTCCTTAGCTGTATCACAAGCACTGAAATTTTCTCCTCCTCCTTTCTAGGACAAGGAAAGAAACAGAAGTCTGGCTAAAAGCCTTCAGTTCTTCCTGTAGCTATGCTTTTCAAGTGTTTATTCACTCCTTTCAAGAGTGCTCCGTAAGAAAAGGCACTCCTCCGCTCTTTCGTGTGCAGAATGGTTTCACCTCCAGCATCGGGCTGGCCGCTCCTCCTTTCCTGTACTGTAGCAGGAGTCAGGCTGAGCTGTAAGACGGGTACTAAGGCACTGAGACCACCAACGTGCCAGAGTCTCCCTGCTAAAGCACACTCTGCGACCTGTTCGTTGAGTCCCTGGGAGCGTCATCTTTCTGTCACCTTGTGTTGTGCTTGGCCTCTGCTGGGGCGTCTCTTCACAGACATTTACCTTCCAGGTCGCTACAGTTGGCTGCAGGGCTGCGAGTTGGTGATTTCTCCTGCGTGTGACATTTGCTCACTTGATTTTCAAGTGTCTTTAGATTTAAGCCTTGAATGTTGAATTTTGCTTATAGTTTGTGTCTGACACCACCTTTTTCATTAGCAGTAATGTAGCAGATTAGAAGTTGTTGTACAAGCTTTGACTATTTCTGGAACCGATTTGCGTGTGTGCACAGCAGTAGGGTTTTACGCTGCAAATTCCCTACAGTCTTTTGGTATAAACTAGCATTTCTGCCTCAACAAAAGGTCACAGATAAAAACAGAGCTGGACATTTAAATACCCGGTGCCTTGAGATTCATCCCTACTGCTGCTACCGCTCTGTTGGATTTATGGAGAGTAAAGTTGTTTGCTGGACAGTAAATATTAAAATGTGATTGGTTTAGCTACAGACAGTCATTAAATATTACTGAGTTTTAGCAAAAGCCTTTCATAATGAGCTAAATATTGGTATTGCACGTCACTGCTCCTTTGTGTAAGCGCAAACTTGTGTTCACTTTCATATAATTATGCTTTTTGGCTGTCGAATGATGCAGGTTGCCTTAGCCCATAAACTCAGTGGTGTGTGGGTCTTCGGTGTGAGTGCAGCCCCTATGCCAGGGACCTAGTCTGAGCCTGGAGGGCAAAGCTCACATCTTGCACACAATTACACTTCAAAGTGCAGCAAGCTTAGGAGGTTCGAAGAGGGAACGATGCCTGTACCTGACACAGGGATAAAATCATGTTAGAGTTCTGTTTCTGAAAATCAGATGGGATCTTTGGGTTTTTGTTCTGTGAAAAACATTTCCCCCTTCCCACCCAATACACAGAAACAGAATTTAATACCTCCTTTTGCTGAAAGGTAGGTAAGCTGTAGGAGTAAGCAGGGCTTAATAGAAATTGGAGAAGATCTCTCAGTCACTCACCAGGCAATGCCGGTGTGGGCCTGCCGGCACCCTGGGAGGCTTGGTCAGTGCGGCAAGGTTAGACACCCATGCATGCAGTCACTGAAGCAGCCGGGGAGAAGATGAAGAGGGCTGTGGGAAGAATAATAGATCAGGCCAGGAGAGCGACAGGGAGAGGAGAACCCCTGCCAAGCTGCTCACAGCGTAAGTTGCCCAGGCTCCAGAGTGGCATGTGGAAGGCTGAAGCATGTGAAGGACAGTCAGCCTTTATTGAACACACAGTTCCATTTTAAACCTCATGCACGTGTTCGGTGGGCGGTTGTTTAGGGAATTGTGTTCCCTTCACCATTATCGTGTCTCTTTTTCATCTGACTGATTTTTTTTTTTTTTTTTTTTCCCCCTTCTCTCCTAGATCTCAGACCTGATACGACAAAGCACAAAGGAGTCCCCAGTTTGGGAGTTCCTCAGCTTGGGGTATGCACTCATGCTCTGCCCATTTGTCGTTGTCCTAGGAGGGATGTTTTTCCTGGCCACAGCCCTCTTCTTCCTAAGTGACCGAGCCAAAGCTGAACAACAGTGAGTAACCTGGCAATTGCAAACGGGGAGGTACCGAAGCCTGTTTTCTGTCTTGAATGTTAAGCTTGTACTCTTTC